AAACATCTAAATGAATTTTGGCGTTATATATCGTTTTTTTATCGACACATTTTCTAACATTCACATTTCCAGATTTCGTTAAACCTGGGTTCAGTCTCAATTGGCTATAATTTGTCAAATACACTTTCTTAATATTACCCGACACTAAAAATATTGTAAATTTGTAAAAGAACTAAAACATCATTTACAAACATTGATTTTTTTTGCAATTTAAAGATCGATTCCCAAAAGGTTAGAATATATCTGTTATTTGATTAATAATTATTTCATCAATCATACTCGTATAAACTACGTAAATTTTTATATTCATTTTTGATTCGAATTAAAATTTCAGAAAACGTTACACACTATGTAACCTAAATATTTACATGCTAACCAGCACAAAGCAATTGATAATTACACAACTGTTTACCGACTGGCTGTTTATTGCTTTGCAGCATGAACGATTTAAACGTAATATTACTGAAGAGAAATTTATCAATCAACATCTAGGTCGTTAACGTTCAACGCTAGTAAATACATAAAACTGTGTCGAAAGGACACGGGTGCCCCCGCTGACAACTTTTATATGGTATATAGTGAAAAAATCAACAAAGGGCCATAATTTTGTTAAATTTGGTCACAGCAAAAATTCCTTCCTTTACTACCATCTACACATTAAGGTTGTTCATCCCTCGAAGTTTAAGCAAAATCTGCCATCCGGTTTAAGAGGAGTTGCGTTCATAAGATTTCGGGACATACGGACACACGGACGGACGTTCTTACCAATACTACATTATGTGGTTTTCTTTTGTTAATTATTTTGTTCTTTTTAACCCCAAAATGCAGAAAATAACCCCACAAGAGAAACAGAATGAATGACATCAAATACATCTATTGTTATGAGAACAATAAACCAACCCCCATAATGTAGCTCTGGTTTGTACGGACAGACGTACGGACGGTACCAACTTTTGATATTTAAGATACAAATCAGCTCATAAACTACATCTGGACCAAAGTCCATTAGCAAAATTAGCTCATAAAAACAAAAAAAATAGCTCTTAATTTGAATTTTATGAGCTTTTGTTCTTTATTTAACTACGGAACGAAGCTCATAAATATCAAATGTTTGCTCTGACGGACGAACGGACGGACAAGTGCAACGCTATATGCTCCCACTTTGTACGGGCATAAAAATGTATACTTCACTACTGATGAGTATAAGCCACATCGCATGAGCAATCTGATTTATCCGATCTTTAATTACACGATATTAACGGTTGAATGAGCACTTTATTCTGACGTTTCTGTTATAAAAAAGTAATTTGAATAATAACATTAAATCTGATTGTCAAAAGTAATAAGTTTAGAATAAGAAAAATATTTTTTTTTTAAAAAAACAACAATTGAGGTTTAGTAACAATTGATATGTTTGAACAAATTGCGATTATTCGTATTGAATAGATCATGCAAAAACGTTTTTATTATTATTCAATAGAAATAACCATAATTTTTAATATATACATCCAAATTCTTATGAGATTCAAAAGGATACCTAGAATTTTAACAAAATCGGCTGATGGCAGCTGGGTTGTGACAAAGATTAAAATAATTGACTTTTGACTAAGAATTATGCATTTGTATAAAAATGATAACGTGACACTTATTCATTATGTAATTTATTTATGTCAAAACTATGTCAAAATTGATAATTATATAACAGTGAGATAGACTTTTTACCAATTAAAGCTTTATATACTTGTATATGTAAGCTAACGATATCCTTTCAGCTATATATTAGAATCTTTTTCCAAATAAATAAAAGTAATGAATAATTACATTGTCTAAAAGCAATCATTTACAACCATGCCAATGTGACATGCATAAGAAAAGAAAAATTGTATATAGAATGTGTATTATGCCTAACACTCGCCAATATACCATTTTTAAATCAATTGATGCAAAATGCATGTATCCATTAACGTTATGTTCGTCCAATCCTCGTTAAAAACATTATATTGAATTATTCTTTATTAGGTATGATTATTTACGCAAACAAAGCTGACATTACTAGCCAGTTCTATGCAAGTATTTATTCTTTATTAGGTATGATTATTTACGCAAACAAAGCTGACATTACTAGCCAGTTCTATGCAAGTATTTATTCTTTATTAGGTATGATTATTTACGCAAACAAAGCTGACATTACTAGCCAGTTCTATGCAAGTACTGATCCAGAAAATCCATTTGTTTATATTCCTGAGGAACCGTCCGGAGGAGGGACTTTGATTATTTCAAAAAGGGATGATACTCTTAGCGTTTTATTTCCAACAAGTGGTAAACATTTTGAGTATTTTATTTGACAAATTCTTCTTTTGTTTATATCTCTGAACCGTCCAGTGTTATAGAAATACGTTTCATTTCCAATGATGTGTAATCATTTGAGCTTTTCATTGATAGTTGGTTTGACAAATCCGTGCAGTGCCTGTTTTCTGACAGTTGTACATTTTTATAGATATGTCATTTGTTTTGATACATAAACCAAAGTTAATCTTAAGAACATGAATTCAAAGCATTTGTTTTAGTCGAGCTGCCATGTTATTTATGCCATTGAAATTATGTTTCTTGTTGATGAATTGAAATTACAGGTATCTCTCTGAATATATCCTTGAGCGTGGAAATGCTTTCTTTAAACACCGGGGTGCCAAAGGTATTACAAGGGCTGACGACTGGATTGTTGGGAAACTATGATGGTAATCCCGAGAATGACTTTACAATGCCAAATGGAACTGTCCTCCAAGGAAATCTTACGGAACGAGAGGTTTTTGAATACGGAAAGACATGTATGTCCTATATTATTACAAAACAGTGTAGTCATTGCACATAAGATGTATATTGTATTCGCTTAGTAATAATCTAAACGATTGTTTATTGTGAAATATTTTGACGTCCTTACTCTTCAAAGAAGCTTTTACAAACTAAAACTTGAGATGCTACGTGTTGTTCAGCAACTTAAACAGTTGCCATATAGCTAGTCTCGTTGCTGGAATGTTTCCTTGATTTTCCGTAGTCTTGTTCCCTGTAATTTAGTCTTGAGAATAAAAATACTAAGTCGGTGCATGGGAGAGTTATACATCTTCCATTACTAGCTCATTAACCCCATTGTCATATGACTTTTCTGTAGCAAAATGTAATTTGTACATAATATGGTGTAAATATATTAATTGAACATGCTTAATTTAAGAAACCGTTACAGCATATTAGACTTATTTTTATTTCTATTTATGATTCAAGCCATTTTTCATTTAAGGGTCGATCAATTCAAATGATTCTGCATTTATTTATGAAGATGGCAAGTCGCATTTTGATTTCCATAATGACTCTTATATTCCACGGTTTCTTGATGAAGCTGATCCTAACAAAATATCGGAAGCGGAAAAAGCTTGTAACGGCTCACAAAATATCGAATGTATTTTCGACCTCGTATTTACTGAGAAAATGGAAATAGCTAATCAAACAAGCATCATCAGAGGGGACTCAGACTCTACAACGGCTGAACTCGGTATTGTAATCGATTTTCACTTTTTACTTTGAAATTCATTTTATTGATAAATGACTATTTACTATATGTATATAAAAGGTATCTCTATAATGTTATGCGAAAGCGGTACAGATTTCAAGTTCTTAATAGGCTTTTCTTTTTATTAAACGTAAATATAATTCCAGAAATTACAGTGCCTACACTTTCTGGATGTGAGGACATATATGCTACGAAAGGTCAAAATGTAAACTGCCGCTTAAATTTTAATTCTGGTGATGAAGTCTACTTCCTAGAAAACAGTGTTGATGCAAAGATAAATATTTCATCTTCATCAGTCACATACTTCCAAAAAAGCGATGACCCTGTGAAGATTCGGTATGTATTATGCAAAGCATTTGTATATTTCATATATCTGATCAGAAACCCTGTAAATATAAGTACAAATGATATTTACAGTTAATATTTGTCGATCTCTATAACCATTAAATTCGGTAAACTTTTTTTAATATGTTTTGATACTATTTTAATGATCTAACTGGTAATAATGTGCCCGTTAAAGTAGGTTATTGATGCACAATGAATACATATAAAAAAAATTATGTATTTTCTGTTATTTTTCTGTTATGAGTATTAATTATTTCGTTAATTGTGTAGGGCATTTTACAAAGTAACACCAAATAATATAAACTCCAGAACTTATACAAGCAATATTGTTTCACACATTTCATTAACACTTTCTTATAACGCAGCATCGCAACGAAAAACAAAAATGGTCGCTCATCACCAAGTTTCGTGTTGAATATCGTTCTTTGTACACTGTGTAATGGTCATGGCGTGTGCAGCAATGAAGCACGTGAGAATAAATTTGGTGTAGACAATTTTAAATATGCCAAATGTATTTGTGAGCCGGAATATCAAGGTGAGTTTTTTTGTAGTGTAAAATATATATGCTAGCCACAAACTAAATTCGTAAAATAGATTTTCTGTAACAATTTGCCCTGACATATTCAAACTAATCATCTTGTTATTTTGTCACCTTCATGATCTTTTTATATTTAATGAAATTATTATTGTGCTTTTATGATTGGTTTAGTCTTATTACTGCATGTACTAAGAGCACCACTAACTTAACAACAGATACCATTGTCTGAATTATTTCACAGGAGACGATTGTGAGAATGATTTTGACGGATGCGCTGCAAATCCATGTTCACTACAAAGAACTTGTCAGTCTCTTACAGCTGACGAGCAGAAAAAACAAAATAGGACATATACTTGTGGATCGTGCCCAAAAGGTTATACAGCAGAAACCGAAAACGAATGCAAAGGTACCTTTTGTATTTGTCACCTAAGTGTTGCACTTACATTAAAGCAATTATAAAAATATATTTTCATGACTTTTGTTGAAATGACTTTCAACAAATGAGATTATTACATTTATTGATAACAAAACATTTTCTCATTATTGAAATACTCTCAACCGGATTCATATGGAAAAGACGAAGATTTATTCACTTCTTCTATTAACAACCTTTGTGGATTTTAGTGTGTTGATACGCCTTGGAGCAGACTCTGATAAACACTCGGACTGAAACTAGTGTTTGCCTTCCCCTCATTAGACCATTATTCTTTGGGGTAAAGTTAGTGCAAAACACAAAGGTGTCATTCTTTGTTCATAATATCTGTCGTTTTATTGTTGTTATAGGACATGGGGTTGAAAGGTTCATAGCTGAAATTGAGATCTTTAAATTCGTTCACCGATTGTACTGATATTATTTACTTGTCATTTTGTACTTTAAAGTTTTGGTAAACAAGACACGAATTTCATTTATGTTTACGATTAATTTTATTTCAATCTCAAACACCATCATTTGAAATATTTTCTTTAAGATTTTGACGAATGTGCAGATAATGAAGATATTTGTGATCAAGTCTGCACTAACACAGAAGGTAGTTTTGAGTGCTCGTGCAGAGGTGGTTATAAGGTGGATAGTGGAAACAAAAGCAAGTGTAAAGGTACTGAAAATGAGTTCATTAACTTCGAGTACGATAGAATTAAACCATAGGCAAATGCTAAAGCAAATAATAAAATGTTTCGAGAAATAAACTTTAATATTCATTTTCAGTAATTCCTTGTTGTACCAAGACGCATTGTTAAAGTAAATTAAATAACTATATATTCATATATCCTTGAACAAACAATATTTTGTGTTTGCAAACTTATTTCACTCTATTTTATCGCCACGTCAGCGTTGTTTGTTCCGTGTGGAGGCTGTAAAAAGTCGCCCCGTACATTCAATCAGGGATGTTATATTTCCGATCCTTAAAGATCGTTCAGCGCGACATTTTTGTTGTGCTTGTGGTAATTTAGTTCTATCTATTCGGCATCTTTCTTGTTGGGTGGTTCCAGTATTCCTCACTTGAATACTGTTGAACCACCCTTAGGATATGAGGCCTGCTTTTTTAATTTGTCTTTTGACGTTATATCTGTGAAATGCAGGCTTCAAAACCTCAGATTTCCTTTCAAAAGTCCATTTTATTTTTGTCCGCCCATTGTTTTCTCGTTTAAGGCACATGCATTTTTTACTTGGGGATCATATGCCGCTTTTCATGGAATGGCACTAACATGTCACATTTAATGTTCCATGATAACCGCCATATAAACACATCTGCGAATGTTTCAAAATTCTTAAGTTTATCAGTTCATGTTAAATGTTGAATTCTGCTTGGGCCGGTGCTGGGCGGTAATTTGAACTTGACAGTGCCGTCCGTGGACAGGCTCAGTGAAACCGAACCTGCAACATTTTCAATTTTTCCGCGTTGACCTTTCTTTGAAATTCTTATTTCACTCTATTTTGAGCTTGTAGAGAGATCTGTTATCAGCAAATTATTTTAACAGTAATAAATTTATAACAAGACATTTTTCAGACATCAATGAATGTGACGTAGCCTTACATAATTGCACGCATGAATGTGTGAACAACGAAGGAGGATTCTTGTGTCAATGCTTTACGGGGTTCAAATTTGATTCTTCTACATGGACATGCATAGAAACTTCCGGTAAAACTATTTTATATTGTCTTTCTGATTATTCAACAACTTGAAGTTACGTTAAAGGAGTAAAGCTTTTTGAGAGAAAAAAAATGGGTATTGCAATATAAGCGGAAATAGTAAAATTCACTCAAAATCCATCAATCATATAAAAACATATTACGTTCGTTCCTCTCAGAATCTGTCAAGTGTTGCTTGACTGAGAATATTATACCAAAGTAGTTGCTTTCAAGAATATGCAGTAATCTCATTACTTACGTTATAAAATCACAAGTATCTTTGTTCCAATTACTTTCTAATCAGTATGCAATACATTATTTGAATACAAAATACTTGCTCCATTAACGTAAACATTGAGTTCAATTGATAATATTTATAAACACTAATTAATACATTATATAGATGAGGGAAGTTGCACCGACACAGAAAAGATAGCATGTATTGGCTCATTTGGCTGTAGGAAAATTGATGGAATACCCGAATGTTTCTGTACTGACGGATTTGAACTCGATGAAACTAAAACAGTTTGCAAAGGTAAATTCATGGTCACATTTAGTAATTTTTGTAAATCTGCGAAGAACTTGTAGAGATAAGATTTTTTTCTGGACTAGCATAATTAGATATTTATTATAAAATTTTATAATATGACTAATAATTAAGATAACGTTGTGCTGATTTTTCCGATGATATTAGCCTTGTATAGTATCAAACAAATGTTCAATAATCTAGGGGAATAAAGGTCCGGTTTTTTTTTTGGTAGAGTTAAAGAATCATATATATTAATTAACATTTCAAAGTATTTTGCAACAGTCCTTATAAGTTGATTATATTGATTATAGTGTTTTATTTTGCAGTCTATATCAGTATTAACGTTTCCAAAGCCTGTATCAGTATATAAGCTGCCTTACACCCTATATCATAATTATAGGTTTCAGTACCTTTCTACTAATAAAAACGGAAGTTAATGTTTCCCAAGTCATCAAGGGTATAACAAATACAAAAGTCGTAGTTTATGCTTGTTTTGTTTCAGTATAAGTGTATAATTGTCGTCGTCGTGTATAGTCTATAACAGTATTTAATCTCTTATACAATATCTCTGATATAAACCTAACACAGTGTAGAGATGAGTAAAGGTGTGTGCAGAGTACCGGAGAAATAGTTTTGCCTTGCTTAACTTATGCATTTCCCGTTTATTATGCTCCCCGAAAAAATTCGGGGGAGAATATAGTCGACGCTATTTCCGTCCGTCCGTCCGTCCGTCAATTCGTCCGCTTTTCTTGTCCGGGGAAACAGCAAGAAACATGAAACTTTGTATGTAGATAGATCTCATTGCGTATGTGTGCAGTGCGCAAGAACCATAACTCTTCCTTGCTTATTTTTTTTATTTTTACACTTTGAACTTTGTCAGGGACATAACTCTAAAACTATAAAAGGTATCAGCATGAACTTTTGTAGGTAGATTGATCTCATTGAGTAGGTGTGCAAGTAACTCTTTTTTGCTTTATACTTGAATTATTGCCCTTTGTTTATTTGTACAATTTGAACTTCGTCCGGGACATAACTCTAAAACTATAAGAGGAAACTTTACATATAGATAGATCTTATTGAGTAATTGTGCAGTGCACAAGAACTCTAACTCTGTCTTTGCTCATTTTGGAGTTATTGCCCTTTGTTCATTTTGACACTTTGAACTTTGCCCGGGACATTACTCTAAAATTGTAAAAGATATCAACATGAAACTTTGTAGGTAGATAGGTCTCATTGGATAGAAGTGCATTGCTAAAGAATAAGAACTCTGCCTTGCCTTATTTTGAAATTATTGCCCTTTGTTTATTTTTTACTTTTTGACTTTTGTCTGGGAAGTAACTCTAAAACTATTTAATTTAGAGATATCAACATGAAACTTTGTAGGTAGATAGATCTCATTAGATAAAACTGCAATGCTAAAAACCTTAACACAGCCTTGTCTTATTTTGGAGTTATTGCCCTTTGTTCATTTTTACACTTTGAATTTTACCCAGAACATAAATCTAAAACTATAAGACATATCATCACGGAACTTTATAGATAGATATTGAATAAAAGTGCAGTGCAAAAAAAAACGTTACTCTGCCTAGCCTTATTTTGGATTTTTTGCCCTTTTTTTCATTTCTTATATACTTTCCTGTGTCAAAAACCTTCTCGGGGAGCATCATCCGGTTCAACCGGTTCTTGTATAAACATTTTCATAATTATCAAATCTTGTCCTGACTATAACATAACTTCTTAACTATCTATAATATTATTTGACACTTCATATAGTTTTAGCGATCATTGAAGGAAGTTAAACAAATGTTTCTCCATTACTTAGATTTTGCATATCGCCCTTGATGATACTTACTAATGCTTTTCTGAGAATAAGTTGAAAATGTCTAAGGGTATGAAAGTGATGGAATGCAGTCAGAGGGTATTCAGCGTCCAGGAACCAAATCCTATCTTGTTTTATTTTGAAATTGTTTCATCTTTATGAAACATCAAAATGATATATATCATTGAAACCTTACAAATGCACAAAGACCATTTAATTAAAGTGCAGTAGTAAAGAACCACAACTTTAAAATCGTCATTTCGTTTTCCTTCATAAAACAAAATGATAATTATGAAAAGATAACTTGACATTGTTAAAGAAATTTTAAGAAATGTAGTGCAGTGTAAATGAACAATAACTCTTGCTTACTGTGTTCTGTTCTGCAGTTTTTAAAGCAAAGTTGAAAATCAGTTTGAGAAGATCATGCAATAACATAATAAATCAAGAAACAAAATTTAAGAAAAGCAATAACCAATTATTGTTAAATGAGTGTTCCATTCAATTTTTTTCAGTATCAATGTCTGACATGTAATGTTTTTTCAAAAATCGATAAAAAATTGACTTTAATATTCGTATGAAAGTCAAAATTAAAATTCGACTTTCAAAGTCGGTATTAACGTCGTACAACCGACGTCATTATGAAAGTATAAAAGCCAATATCAGAAAGCGTTTTGCAACCGATTTTAAAGAAACCACTAACAGTCAATAAAGGTATAAAAAGGTTTGCATTATACACCGTACAGTCATTGAAGCAATGACCACTAGTTTTGATTATTTTACAAAATAAAATATGTTATTTCATTATTATGTCCTGATTTATGTTATACTTTTTATTTTGGAACGAACAAAACGTGAATTGATCAATTTTAATATTTCCCCTATTAAGACATAGATGAATGCAACAGAGGTGTTTGTCCACATGACTGTGTAAATACTAATGGAAGTTTTGAGTGTGTTTGTTTCACCGGATATAAACTTTACGGTTCGACTTCTTGTAAAGGTATGACATTTGTATTTCATATATATTGTATATAGCTGGTAACAAATTTGCGTTTTGTTTGTTTTGTTTGTTGTTTTTTATCTCAATCTTTTGTCAATAAATACATTAGTTCATATGTGCCATCAATGTTTCTTTAATAAAGTTAGTTCATATATACAATTCCATAAATTTAATTAAGCATGCGTCATGCCCCGATTTGCTTTGGCTTACTAATAACCACATAGTATCGTATGCATTGTGTTGATATTATGGAATGTTATTTTAAGACGTTGATTGGAGTTATCTTTGTTTGTAGAAAAAATCTGTACTTACTGCATGATAAAGAATGTTAATAGCCTCTTAATTGATTTTTCTAAAATCGATATGGCTTCCATCAAATCACACACAGTATCAATTATTGCATCAATTTTTATTGAAGCGTGTGCCATTCCCTATTGGGGAGGAAACTGTGCAAACAAATGTGTCTGTACAGGCCGTGGTGCAGATAGATGTGATCCAATTAAAGGTTGTATATGCAAACCTGGTTGGCAGGGAGAAAAATGTGATAATGATATTAATGAATGTGTTGCAACGGTAGAACAATGTCACGATCCATTGAAAACTTGTGTCAATAGTCTAGGTTCTTACACATGCTCTTGTCGCTCTGGATATCAACTGACAGATGAACAAAAATGTGAAGGTATGTTTAACGTGAGATATTTAAAAGGAAAGCATTTGTAGACACAGTAATTTTATAACACTGATCAGAATATTATACTGAAAATGAAGCACTGTCTTTTATGACAAGCATTTTAACAATTGTTTCTACCTTAACCCATTTAACTATTATATTTTAAAATTTCAAAATCCAAATATATTATATAGACAAGACAAGAGTCTAAATTTTAGATTTTTTCTCATTTCAAAGTAGTGCAGCTACTTTCTACAGTTCAACTACTTTCTACTAAACATTGTTTGTGACGGTTATTGCATGAACGTTACCAAAATAAAAAAACCGTTTATTTTGCTTGTAATTTTAGGGCATCTGCATGGCCATACTATTAAATGAGTATTTTGTTTTCTTATAGACATAGACGAATGCACTGATCCGCAGCTCAATGATTGTGAGCAGAATTGTACCAACGCTGTGGGAAGTTATTCCTGCAAATGCAAAGACGGATATACGAGGCTAAATGGAACATCCTGCACAGGTATTCTACAGAATGTACGCTTAGAGTATCTGAATTATATCATTTGTCTAATCAATTAGTTTTCACTCAAGAAATTCATGAATGAGTAGCAGAAAAGCAAACCGACTTTTACCACATTTTCTATTTATTCGTCATGCTAACTTGGCCTTTAATTAGTTTTTTTTCCTCAGCAAACATGTAAAACAACCAGGTCAAAACTGAAGATGTCTCCGTTATGTCCTAAGGTTATACGTAATATGATGTAGTTTGTGTATATAATACAGCTATTTGATTTACTTGGACAAGAGAAAATATTTATGAAGAAAATGATTATTATTGGATTGCGTGAAATATCTGTTATCTAAATTTTTGTATAAAATCTGATGAAAAACTAAATTTATAAATGAAACAAGAAGTAAACTTTAAAGAACATCGATTTTTTCTATTGTTTTGAGAAATATCAACTGCGATTGTTTGACTTGTATCCAGCCTTCCTTTGGACCTATTCAAATTCAAACAGAAAAACCACTAATGTTTCTAAAGACATCCTGTTTTGCCTTCGATTTGATCTCTGGACCACTTGCTTACAAGTAGATAAAGGCATCACCCCCTAGACTTTTGAGCCAAACAATAGATTTCCTGACACAGTTGACATTTATAGTAATATAGACACTATTTTAAGAATTTAAGTTAGGGTTGTGCTGACACAAGCTATATTATTTTTCTAATTATTAATGCAGTACGATAAATATCTTCGTGGATAAAAATTGAGTTTTGTTATGGTCATGTTATATTTCATATTCCTATATTTTCATGTTGTTTATATTGTAGATGTAGACGAATGTGCATTGGGTTTGGACAAGTGTGAGCAAAGATGTATAAATAATCCGGGTTTTTATTCATGCTTCTGTTATTTTGGGTACTCTGTCAATGATGATAGACGTACTTGTGCTAAATGTAATTGCCGTTATTATTCATAATATATCTACATTTCAAACAATGGAAATACTGGACATTTTTTGTTTTCTGTTGTTGCTTTTTACAGACATTTTATCGGAGCTTTTATTTATGTTTCGTTTATGTTTAATTCATTATTTATTGATTTGATTTTCTTATTTGTACAAGTGTCAAGACATATTCATAGTTACATACTCAGTACAATTGCTTTTTAATACTATTAATATGAAGGATTATAATCTGGAAACAAAGTAATCCCCCGGAAGCATTAATCACAACAAAATTATATAAGAATTGCAGATTCGGTTTGATTGAGTCTGCACATGAGGGATAATGAAAAGTGCAACATCCCTCATGCCCCCTAGCACCGGCTTGAGCGGTACTCAATTCTCAACACTTAATAGTGCTGGCATCAATGATCCCGAAGGACCAGAAAATATAAAAACACTGAAGTGAAGTACGAGTCAAAACTAAAATACTGTTCTTGATTCGCTGTCGTCAGATCTATATCTGTCTGCATGATATTTGTATTTAAAATAAAACTGTTTGATACAATTTTCTAGAACGAAAGATTATTTAACATGTTTAATAATTCATATTTTGAGTTACATAAAAAATGTTTTTTATCATTTACATTCTAATAATATTTCCAGTGTCTGACCCATGCTTGACTATCAATAACTTGACATGCTCACATTTCTGTGTGTTGGCAAGTGAAGATGCATCGTGTGCTTGTATGAAAGGCTTCACTTTGGATCCTGATAACGAAACGTGTTCAGGTACAACACTAACATATGAAATAATTATAATTCAATGTTAAGCAAAACAATTGAATGAAGATGCCGTACGTATCATGAAAAACCGACGCGCGTTCAATTGTAAATGTATTTCTACAACATGTGTGCGTTTTGTTCTCGACAGATTGCGCAACATTCCCATATTGTTGAACGGCTGATATCAGCTTATTTACCTCGTCTTTCCCAAGCTTTTTTTGGGACAATAGTCTCAAAGTGCTCGGTTTTCATCTGAAGTTGTCATAACAATCTGCGTCTTTATAATTAATTCGTTTTCCAATTTGTTATCGGGATAAACTGGAAAATATAGCCGTGCGGACATTGATATAATCATTGGCTAGCGCTTCCAGTCATGTTTAGTTTAATCACACTGTATCTCTTGTATATCCCGTTAAGTAAATGAATAACAAATAGTATACAAATAAAAAAAATTAAAAAAAAACACACACACGCTAAGCAAGAGGTTTTAATAGTTTGAGTTTATCAAAATAAGTGTTCATCGTAAATTAAAAGTTAAAATTTAAAGTATATCTTAAACAATTATTACTTTTTCACCTTTTCAACTGTACCTTTTATCAATTTCATTCGGTTATTGCTTTTGCTTTTGAAAAGAAATCATTTCATATTACAGTTTTCATTTTTCTTGTCCTTTCAAAGTATGATTCTACTTTAGAATACTGAACTCGGCTGTGTTTCAAGAACGTTGCCCAGCCTTTATGAGCATACTAGTTATAAACTGTTACATAATTTATACTTTAATAAGGATACTAAACAAATAAAGATTGCAAATATTTGATACATTCTCATAAAAAATTAAACAATGAAAAGAAATAGAATTTATTGACAGAAAACCTGTTGTTTTTTTTAAGACAGTAAATGTTGTTACATCATTATTATCATTATCATTTCACTTGGTATTTCAGATATAAATGAATGTGAGAATGATGCAGACAATAAATGCCATGAAAATGCTACGTGTATAAATACGGCTGGGTCGTATAATTGCGAGTGTCCAGTAGGTACACAACTTGAAAATGACGGCAGAACTTGCTCAGGTGTTTCAACTTTCTCTTTTATTTATTCACAATTCCCTAAGTAATCATTTTATATTAATTCTCCTTTTTAAAGGTAATTGAATAATCATGATTACTTTATCAAATATTATAGTCCTACAGGAGTGTGAATACATTTTTAGCGCCAAAGTGATAATTATATAAAATGCGGTCAAATTATCTCATAACAAAGTAAAATAATCACTCATAGTTTTTTTTTATCATCTATCTGACTCCGAGACAGTAAGGCAAGTATTACAGATGATTGATTTGTCACGAAGTGCAATTAAATAAACAGTGGTTTTTGTGAATTATCATTTTATATGCTTATAGAACTATAGATATGTATATAAGTCTATAAATATTAATTCAAAATGTAAATAATATTTATAAATTTGTTTAATAATAGAATGTGATGACTATCACTATGGCAAGAACTGTTTGCATGAATGCAGCTGTCTTAATGGATATTGTGATAACATAAAAGGTAAGTTATGCGCTTTTGATATATTAACTGTTAACATAATGTCTTCATTACAAAACGACAAATTGATCTTATCAATAAATATGTCAGTGACTTTTTCTAAAGCACTGTATATTATCAAAATTAGCCGTATGATCAAAATATAAACTTAACATTCACATAAATATATGATGTAAAACGATAATTTACATTTTGCGTAAATATTTGAATAGTTAAGTTAACAAATACTGATATAAATTAGACCTGGGATATACGATAACGGGATATGCCACTCGCGCTTTCTTATCAGTGCCAATGTTGGTGTCCAATTGGAATCGATCGATCGATAAGCGCTGTGTTTAAACGCCGTAATCACGGTACATGCCGGATTTATCGGATATATTCCGTGCATAAATTTTCCGGTGATTTCGGGAGGTGGGCATTAAATTAAGAAGCCATCTTTTTTTAAAGGTTATGGGTAAATTTACCGTTTTTTTAAATACTTTTTCATTTGATCAATTTTGAAAATATGAATAAATATTAAACAAATACAGAAAAGTATTGGCATTTAAAAGTTTTCTCACATTTAATTATGAATGAAAATTTACGTTTTGTAATAAAAATACGTTTAGAAATACCTTACAATATATTGTTTTTTTCTGACTTTAATTTATATAAATTATTTGATATCATTATGTCAAATTTGTCAATAAACATACAAATTATTTTGTATTGGGACGGCTTATTAATTATGTAATTAAAGTGTACAGCTGCTATAAACATGATTATAACATGTTATTAATTTCTGATTTAATGAAATATCTGACCATTGTTTTATTGATTTTTGTTTTTTTAAAGGGCCTTTAAAAAAATTTTTTATGTTCAAATTTTTTTAAACATATATTTGAAATTATTTTTTTAAAGCTTTATCTTCATTCTTGAATAAATTGTTTTTTTTACTAAAACCAAAACAATTTCCCCTTTTTTCAAAAATTCCTTTTTAAATATGACATTTTTAAATTCATAACTCAAAAAGTTTTAAAAATTTAAAATTTCAATGTTCAAAATAAAAATGAAAAAAAAGATCTTTATTTGAAAAGGGCCCAAACTGTGGTTAAAGTTTGTAAGCATTTTCTAAATTTCCCCCTACCCATTTTTAAAATTTCCGGGGCCTTCAAACCCATTTTTCATGTACTTTTTCTGTATTTTATATATTTTCTTTCAGACCAGGGGACAATCCCATCGTTTTTTTAACTGAACCACTGACTCATTGAAAGTCTTTTCCCTTTTATTAAAAATAGGAAATTTAAAGGGACTCCTATTGATAAAAAAGCCCCCTATAAAAAATTTTTACACATTACACAAGTTTTTTTTAAAATATTTTTTAAATCTTTGAATAGCTGTACAAATGTAAAAAAAATTAGAATACAAAAAATTTTAAAACTAATACTTCTTTGCTTTACCAACTTTTCTTTTTCGGGGTTTTAAAAAGTTTATATCTTGTTTTTGCAAAAAAAATTTTGATGATATATATCTTTTTTTCAATAGTTACAAAATCCATATTTTTTTAAAAATTGAAAAATGATTGCGCCAAAAAAAATAAAAATTTTAAATAGAAATAAAGTTATTTTTTTCCCAGAATTTTTTATTTATAAAAGTTCATTTTTTGGTTTAAAAATTTTTATTTTAATGGAAAATTTTTTAATTTTTTAAAAAATTTTTTCAATAAAATAAAAAAACGCTGGGGAAAACAATTCAATTTTAAACTAAAAGGCCCCCCGGTTTTTCACCCCAAAATTTTTTAAAAAAATTTTAAAATTGTAAAATTTCGTAAAAATATTATACAAAAAAGTATTTTGGACAATTGGAAAATTCAAAATTTTAAAATTCACTCTCAATTTAACCAAAAGAAGTCAAAAAAAGGGGGCTTTTAAAGGGGCCCCCTTTCTCTTTAAAGTACGCATTTAAAATATGGTGATAAATACTGCAAAAATAGATTTAAATTAAATTTTGCACATAAAAAAATAGCTTATCACTTGAATTTTTTAAATCTGTTTAAAACTTTTCATAAAATTTGGGTTAGTTTTTTTTTCCAATTTGTAAATTTTTGGGAAATATTTTGGGTCATTTTGGAGGCATGCGGTTTTAAAAATAATTTTACAATAAATATTTTTAATGGCCAAGAAAAGGTCAAATTTTCTTTTTTCTCTGTGACAACGAAAAAAATCTTTTTTTAAAATTTGGGCCCCGAATTAAAACTGATTGCAAAAACTGTCATAAAAATCGAGATAAATTTTAAAATTTTGGCATAAACTTATTTGCAGATTTTTCATCTAAATTGGGCAAATTTTGACCCTTTAAAATTGGATTTTAAATTGCCTTACACTCATTTAAATTTGTTTCATTCAAAAAACTGGTATCTCAAAGAAAAATTTTAAAAAAATTTTGTGAAAGAAAAGCATCGGGGTGAAACTTTTTCAATTTTCCCGAAAAAAAACCGGGCAATTAAAGATTTGTTTTAAAATTATTAAAACAAAAAAAAATTTAAAAATTTAAAGGACTAAAAAAGGCAAATTTAAAAATTGACCCCATAAACAATATCCTTCATAAATATCAAATGACAAGCAAAGGGAAAATCTATAAATTTTTAAAAATAAAGAATGTGTTTTTTTTCATTTCAAATAAAACAAAATTATGGTTTTCAAAAATAAAATCAAGAAAAACCTCCTATTTCTAAAACATGATTTTTTTTTCTACTTTTAAATATCAAACGATTTAACTGGCAAAATTCATCAATTTTAATGGTTTGTCTCAGATTTCAGGTTCACTCAAAAAATTGGTTTGAAATTTGACACTGAATTATTTAAAAACTCATGCTAAAAAAAAATTTGATCCCAATTGTTTACTCTCTTGCTATAAATATGTCTCATTGTTTAACTAAAAAATACTAACATGGACAAATTAATTGACCAATAACCTTCAATTTAACGGAGACAAAAATTACATCAAGTTAGCATTCCGCCATTTTATTTTTCGGATTTTTTGCACCAGTTCATAAAAATTTGGAACCCCCCGTAAAATTTGTCACTTAACTCCACTAAAGTTCCCCATAATTTTTAATTTTAAAACCCAAAGATTTTTTAAAGGGTTTTTTTTAAAATTAATTTTTCTCCCATTTTTCTTGAAATTTAATTTCTTTAAACGAATTTTTGCAACAAAAATTCCCCTTTTAGGGCGATCAACAACAAACAACATAAAAGTTCGATTGAGATTTTTTTCTTTCGACAGAACACATTTTCAATTAGAAATTTTAAAAACACCATTTTAAAAAAATACATCTTTTCCCAAATTTGGTCTTTTAATTTAAAAAAAAAATTTTTTTATTTACTTTTGGGGAAACTTCCACCCAAAAAAGTAAAAAAACCGATCAATTTTCCTTTGGGAAAATTCCACCCCCTTAAAACAAAATTTGAAAAATGGCGGCGTTTGTTTCCCCGATTGGGAAACCTTTAAGGACGTTTAAATCTCCTTTTTTCCCGACCCCCTTTATCTTATGCCCCAAATTTTATACATAATAAATTTTTTCCCAATCCAATTTTTTTAAAGGGTTTTTGCATTTAAGGGTTTTTTAAAGGGTTTGGTGTTGTTTTCAACACGGAATGGTTGGGTGATAAATGTGTTTTTCGAAAATCAAAAAAATTTGAAAACGCCCCTTTGTATTTTTATTTGGCCCAAAATACAATGTGTGAAAAACCTTCTGGGGGGAGTGCTACACTTTGTAAAACCCCGGATATGAAAAATAGCAAAGGGAAATGCTTTGGGTCTGCAATTTTAATTTTTTTTTAATGTAATCGAAAATGCATATGAAATTTCTTTGAAAAAAGGGCGTTTTTTAACCCAAATTAAACCAAATTTAATTTTAAACGCCCTTTAAAACTTTTTTTTTCACCCCCCAACCATTTTTGGTGTCTAAAGGAAAAATGCCTCATTTGGGCCCCCAAACACTTAAAATTTTTTTTTGAGAAATGTGAAAAAAAAGTAGCCAACTTTTCGGCGCGCCCCCCCAATAAAAGAAAAAATAGGGGGTTGCCAAAAGGGGGAATTGGGCCCCTTTTCTTTTTGCGGGGGGGGGGGGGTTGGGGGAAGGGGGCCGGGCCCTAAACCCCAAAAAAATTTTTTTGGATTTGGTTAAAGGTTTTAAAAATTTGCGCCAGATCAAATCAAAATAAGGTAACGTTTTTCCCAAACCCGTTTGAAAAAGCTTTTTGATTTTTCTCTTTTTATTGAGAATTGCAGACCTTAAAAAAAATTTTGTGGGAAAAATCGAGGCAAATATTTAAATTTTTGGCCAAATTTTTGAGATTTTCCCCTCTTTCTGTTTAAAACGGGAAATTTTAAAGGCTGACCCAATGTTGTTCCCAAAGTCAATTTTGGTTTTCCATTAAACCTTTGGGGCCAAATTTTGGAATTAGTATTTTAAACAAGTTTTATAGTTTTATAGCAATTTGAACTTGTAACGGGAGACTTTTCAAAGAAAACAGCCATTAATCACAAAATGCTCATGAAGTAATGGGTTAAACTAGGACACTTAATTTAATTGAATTAATTCAATTACAGTTTAGATTAAGAGAAACGTTGATCTTCGCACAAACCTTTTTATTTATGTTTTCATGTCATAAATACTATTCGTTATTCATTCAAAAAGAAAAATATAAGATCTCTTTGTAATTTTTTTTCATTGTTTCCAGATATCGATGAGTGCTCTGATTTAAAGCTGAACTCATGTGACCAACAGTGTATGAATACAAACGGTAGTTTTACATGTAGCTGTCACAAAGGTTTTCAACTTGAAAATGGAAAATGTACAGGTAACGTCACAAACCAATAATCTATCTGAGTATGTTGAATAAGTAAAATATCAATAATTAAAATTTTGTAAATATACTTTAAACTGTTGAAAAATGTATAATAACTGCACAGTCATATTTATTTCTTATCTATTATTATGCAATTAATTCTGTTGCCAAATTGTTAAAATTAGTAATATTATATTTGACTGTACAGAATAAGATAATTAAAATGAAATAATTACATCAGATGTCAATGAGTGTACAAGTAGACATGGTTGTGGTCAAATTTGTGAAAACACCGTCGGCAGTTATTTGTGTTCATGTGAGGAAGGCTTCAAGCTTCAGTTGTCTGATAGAAAAACTTGTAGACGTAAGTTTTCATTTGGAATCGTGAGTATGATTTATCTTCTTGCAAACGAGCAAATTGAAATTACATGTAATGTTAGAAGCTCGCGACGGTCAAATTTTCATTGTGTATTATTGCCAGCTCTTTAAAAAAACATTTGTGAAATTTAGATAAATACAAGTGTGTATCTGTTTCTATTGGGAATTTAATCA